TCATAAAATTTGGAGGGCGAATTTACGGTTACATAAAATGTTTTATGCTGAATTTCATTGCGACAGTTCTCTTTTTAAGCGAATTGTGGACACTAATTCTTTTTTAAAGCTGTGTTTTGTATGGGGGCTCGGATCAAAAGCCCGATCATTTCAAATTTCATCAGCGTATTTTAGGACAGTATAAAACAAAAGCACTACTCCGGAGAAACCCAATATACCATCCCTACTAAGGGTATAAAAAGGGCAATAAATAGGCATTGATACTATCGGATATCTATAATGGAAGTCAACCTGTCAATAAGATGGCGAGAAGATAATTCCCTTGGTTAGTGAACACGGGATATAAGGTGGAGGAGAAATAGGTGCAGTACAGGTGCTCTATGTAGCCTCGTATGGATCCCCATTACACATAATATTTAAATATTATTTGGAAACCATTGTAAATTTGGATATCATGGGTATTATTTCAGGTTTTTATTCTACTATTCAGTGCCTGGGATGGAAAGATTTTTATTCTAAGTATGTACTTTGAATTAATTTGTTTTTCTTTTCACAAAATGCTTATTGGAAACTAAACACCTACTAAGAGTATTCATATTGCAATATGAAATAAAACATTTTATTTTTGTCGGTAAATTATTAAGATTTTTTGAATTTTTTTTATATTTTTCGGGATTTAGAAATCCCGAAAATACCGGGATCCCGATATCGGGATTCCGGGATTTATTTAAAAATCCCGAATCCCGGGATTTCTAAAAACCAGTCCCGATTGGCATCCCTAATTTTGAGTTATTAAAAAAACATGGCGGTTTGTTTATATGATTTGGTGGGTTTATTTGAAAATAATAAAAAAATATTTATGTAGGTTGTAGCATTTGTTTTCAATGTAGAGAAAAAGGTAGTTTATTGTGACAAAAATTAAACAAATACATATGAACTACTATACTGGCAAATGTTGCAGTTTCTCGAATACTTAAAGGGATTGAAAATTTAATCCCTAAACAGAAAGTAATTAAAAATATTATTTTACAGTAATCGTAATCTAAAACCACAAACCAACGATTAGACTATGACTATACAATGACTAGACTATGACTAGACTATGACTAGACTATGACTAGACTATGACTAGACTATGACTAGACTATGACTAGACTATGACTAGACTATGACTAGACTATGACTAGACTATGACTAGACTATGACTAGACTATGACTAGACTATGACTAGACTATGACTAGACTATGACTAGACTATGACTAGACTATGACTAGACTATGACTAGACTATGACTAGACTATGACTAGACTATGACTAGACTATGACTAGACTATGACTAGACTATGACTAGACTATGACTAGACTATGACTAGACTAGACTATATGACTAGACTATGACTAGACTATGACTAGACTATGACTAGACTATGACTAGACTATGACTAGACTAGACTAATAGACTAGACTATGACTAGACTATGACTAGACTATGACTAGACTATGACGACTATGACTAGACTATGACTAGACTATGACTAGACTATGACTAGACTAGACTAGACTATGACTAGACTAGACTAGACTATGACTAGACTATGACTAGACTATGACTAGACTATGACTAGACTATGACTAGACTATGACTAGACTATGACTAGACTATGACTAGACTATAGACTAGACATTACTAGACTATGACTAGACAATGACTAGACTATGACTAGACTATGACTAGACTATGACTAGACTATGACTAGACTATGCTAGACTATGAACTAGACTATGACTAGACTATGACTAGACTATGACTAGACTATGACTAGACTATGACTAGACTATGACTAGACTATGACTAGACTATGACTAGACTATGACTAGACTATGACTAACTATGACTAGACTATGACTAGACTATGACTAGACTATGACTAGACTATGACTAGACTATGACTAGACTATGACTAGACTATGACTAGACTATGACTAGACTATGACTAGACTATGACTAGACTATGACTAGACTATGACTAGACTATGACTAGACTATGACTAGACTATGACTAGACTATGACTAGACTATGACTAGGACTAGGACTAGACTATGACTAGACTGACTAGACTATGACTAGAATATGACTAGACTATGACTAGACTATGACTAGACTATGACTAGACTATGACTAGACTATGACTAGACTATGACTAGACTATGACTAGACTATGACTAGACTATGACTAGACTATGACTAGACTATGACTAGACTGTGACTAGACTATGACTAGACTATGACTAGACTATGACTAGACTATGACTAGACTATAGACTAGACTATAGACTAGACTATAGACTAGACTATAGACTAGACTATAGACTAGACTATAGACTAGACTATAGACTAGACTATAGACTAGACTATAGACTAGACTATAGACTAGACTATAGACTAGACTATAGACTAGACTATAGACTAGACTATAGACTAGACTATAGACTAGACTATAGACTAGACTATAGACTAGACTATAGACTAGACTATAGACTACACTATAGTCTATAAACTTGACTATAGACTTGACTTTAGACTAGACTATAGACTAAACGATAAACTAGACTATAGAATAGACTAGACTATAAAACATACTATAGAATATACTATATACTAGACCAACGGTTCCCAAATGGGGGTCCGCGGACCCCTAGTGGTCCGTAGTAAAATCCTAGGGGGTCCGCGAAGACGAACAAAAAAAACCATGAATAAACAATATTCTGCTTTTATATGTATGCACAAATATATCCAATTTTTGTGCAATAATCCCAAATTTTTTGGTGACTTTTTGAATTTTATTTTTTCGGTTGTTTATCAGGAAGAAGCTAGGCCCTACAAATTTATTGTATAACTTTTATAAAGTAAAGTACTGCGTGATTTGTAATTTTTATTTCCTGTATATGTACTGAAATAATGGTTTTTATTTCAGACAAATAATACTCTGCTTTACAATTAAATTATTACAATTATAGGACTAAAATTATATATTTCCAAAACAGAGGTGACTCTTTATGCATTTCTTTATAAATATTCCAATCCGACGTGATACACAGATTTTAACTTGATTTTGTCGACCAATACATATTATTAAATTAACATCAGAAAATCCATAGCGTTTCGCGTAAATATGTAGCCAAAAACCATGAAGTAAAATAATTCGTTGGTATTTTAAAATTCAAATTTAAGTTCCAAATTCACAGTACTTTAACAAAGAGTTCAAATCATATATTATGCGGATAACGCATTCCGCAACAACATAGAAGAAGTCCAACTTTCTTATATTATTTTCCCGAAAACTTAGCTCACTTACTCAGTTCACCCTTTGCAATCGCAACAAATTTTTGAAACGTGACTCCTTAAGCACATGTGACAATATTTGATAAAGAAACCTTTTCGCTACCTTGAAGAAAAATGAACATGAAAGATCTCACGATCATAAAATTAAACATCATGTTAACATATCAACAAAGAAGTCATTCTATCTTCAAAACATGCAATTGAAAACCTATCTGAAATATTATTATATTCTAAATGTACGGGAATATTTTACAGATATGATATCTCTACATTTATTAGACCTAGGGATTAATGAACTAGGTCAATTTTCGGATGGACAATTATTTAGAACAATAAGATATCAAAATATGTATGGGGGTCCGCGAAATTAAATAAGTTCTTCAAGGGGTCCGCGAAGTAAAAATCTGTGGGAACCGCTGTACTAGACTATAAACTAGTCTATAGACTAGACTATATACTAGACTATAGACTAGTCTATAGACTAGACTATATACTTGACTATATGGTAGACACAATATACTAGACTTTATATTAGGCTATATATAAAATTGTAGACTATACTGCTGGCTATTATATAGACTAGACATTATATTTAAAGCCAATTTTTTGCAAAATAGACTATAGACTAGACTATAGACTAGACTATAGACTAGACTATAGACTAGACTATAGACTAGACTATAGACTAGACTATAGACTAGACTATAGACTAGACTATAGACTAGACTATAGACTAGACTATAGACTAGACTATAGACTAGACTATAGACTAGACTATAGACTAGACTATAGACTAGACTATAGACTAGACTATAGACTAGACTATAGACTAGACTAGACTAGACTATAGACTAGACTATAGACTAGACTATAGACTAGACTATAGACTAGACTATAGACTAGACTATAGACTAGACTATAGACTAGACTATAGACTAGACTATAGACTAGACTATAGACTAGACTATAGACTAGACTATAGACTAGACTATAGACTAGACTATAGACTAGACTATAGACTAGACTATAGACTAGACTATAGACTAGACTATAGACTAGACTATAGACTAGACTATAGACTAGACTATAGACTAGACTATAGACTAGACTATAGACTAGACTATAGACTAGACTATAGACTAGACTATAGACTAGACTATAGACTAGACTATAGACTAGACTATAGACTAGACTATATACTAAACTATAAACTTGACTATAGACTTGACTTTAGACTAGACTATAGACTAAACGATAAACTAGACTATAGAATAGACTAGACTATAAAACATACTATAGAATATACTATATACTAGACTATAAACTAGTCTATAGACTAGACTATATACTTGACTATATGGTAGACACAATATACTAGACTTTATATTAGGCTATATATAAAATAACTATACTGCTGGCTATTATATAGACTAGACTATTATATTTAAAGCCAATTTTTTGCAAAATACTTTCAGTAATCTGATTAATATTTTAAGATCTTTTAAACATGTGTATTAAGATTTTCGATTATATGTTTGTTTGCAATTTTATTTTGTTAGTATTTAAAAGAAAACATTAGAACTGCAAAAAATCCTTAAAGCTAAATTTACTTATTTTTCCTTTCCCTGCTTTACTTTTCCAAACACTCTTTGCAGGCAATGCGGGCGATAACAATCAAGCGCCAATGCGTAATCCACCCGATGCTTTTCACAATTCAGCAGGAGCATTGGCACAAAATAATCTAGTTGGTGTAATAATTCAAGCGATTAAAATGCAATCATTAGGGATTTTCAAGCGTTTAACGAATTTAAGACAAACCATAAACGAATGCGACGACACAACAGCAGGAGCAGCAATTGTTACTACTGAAGGAAAAACAATACAAAACTACGTGCATAAAATACAAAAGCTTATAGCAGCACTGGAGAAAATGATAAAATCAACAGTTTTTATTTTAAGACAACAGCAGCGACAAGAACAACCAACAAGACAACTGCGTAAAAATCTTATTATAGAAAATGAATTTAAAACATTTAAACACTTCAGTACACAGGAGACACATGTCAGCCGCCATGAAAGACAAGGCATAAACTGGCGCAGGAAATGGAGAAAGAGTCGTTTATGTTACACGCCTGATAACAGGAGGGCGATGATGACGTCAACATTGAAACAACAACAACAAGATAATTCAAATTTTATGGCATATCTATATGTGAACAATTTTCAAAAACATATAAAACAACAAGAAATTTTACATAAATTTAATACAATCTATGTAACACATATTTTTGAAACAACTGCTAATAGTAACCACAACAATATGTTTTACAACAACTCTAGCAATAAGCTTAATATAAAGCTTATGGCAAATAGAATTTATTGGTTTATAATTTTACTTTTTATAACGTTTAGCTTAAGTTTAACTTTAATCATAAATTTTCTTCCTAAATCTGTGGTAAATACCTTGAATTTTCAACAAATGTTGGTGTTGTTATTACAACAATTTCTGCGTAAAGTTGTTAACAACATACTGTGGCATATTGATGTTATAGTAAAAATTGTCTTAAAAAACTTAACAATTGTTTACAGTAAATTTAGTTTAAATTTAAATTCCACTAAAAAAACATCAAGAACAACAACAACAACAAGCAAAACATTATCCTCAACATCACTAGCAACTACTCCTGCAACATCATCATTTGCCTCATCATCGTCTTTATCTATAACCACAGCATCTGCATCAGCTTCCTCATCAGCATTACCCTGTTCCACTTTATTGTTTTGTAGATGAAATGTATCAGATTAGAAAAATTTTCATTATGTATACCAAACCACATATTTACTAAATAACAAATGAAATAGCAAGAAGATGAAAAAAATCAGTAATAACAAATAATATTATTATTATGTAGAAAATGTCAGAATTAAATTTATAGAAGAAGAAAAAAGAGAAAGAAAACCCAAAAAAAAAATAATCTCATTTAGATTAAGATCCTTTAAAATTTGTGTTAAATATAAAGTTTTATTTTATTACTTTCAACTCTATTATTTCTTTAAATTGGAAAAAAAAGCTTAAATGAAAGAAAGTTTGTGAAGGGAATTGTAAAGTTGTATTAAAGAAAGCTTTTACTGACCTTGATGCAGAAGAGCATTTCAGCTACTATTTAGTAACAACAATGAACTCAAGAATAGCTACTGCATACTTCTGAGCGACATGATCTCTCGACTATTTTGACTCTCTCTTACAATGTAACTATTTTCAGAGTTTTAGGTTTGATTTATGCTCAAATGCTTAAATCATAACCGCAATAAAATAATTTATATTTAAAAATTAAAAATAATGAAATTAATCACATAATGGTATTGATTTAAGCACGATTCGTACTTAATTTCAAAACATAAAATTATTAATACAATTTGTCAAAAACTTAACCAGTTATTGCAAATATATTCTTAACTAGATGAGAATTATATCTTAAAATGTGAATGAATATAGGATCTTTGTGGATCTATACACCATTTCATTATTCCACGATGCCTTATGGGATTCTCTCAGCTATATTTATACCCTACACCACTTTAGTGGGGAGGGTATATTGGATTTGTTTGTTTGTTGCTGATGTTTGTAACATACAAAAATATTCGTCCTAGACCCACCTTAAAGTATACCAATCGGCTTAGAAACGTTTTCTGAGTCGATTAAGCTATGTCCATCCGTCCGTCTGGCTGGCTGGCTGGCTGTCCATGTAAACCTTGTGCGCAAGCTACAGGTCGCAATTTTCAAGATAATTGGATGAAATTTGGCACGCACGTTTTATTTGGACGAAGCCTATTGAAAATGGTTAAAATCGGTCCATTATTTCACCTAGCCCCCATAGAACAGAACCCCCCGAAAAGGGCTTCTTTCTGAGCTCATAATTATGTTAAATATACAGATATATCGATAAAATACGGCACAACTAAGTTTTATAGAAGTCTTGATGACCCTACCAAATTTCATAAAGATCGGGCCCCATTTGACCCTAGCTCCCATACAAAGTCCCCTTCAGAAAATTACTTGAATGTCCCAAATTAACTTATAAACACAAATATCGTGATGAAATTCAGCACAATAAATTATTATGTAAATAAAGATATATTCACAAAATGTTATCGGGCTTGGTCCATATTTGCCCTTAGCCCCCATATAAAGCCTCTTTCAGAAAATTACTTTTTCATCCATAAATTGCTTAAATGTATCGGAACAAGGGAATATTGAAGATAAATGCTTTATTATGAAAAATAAATCACATTTAATATTCATAACTGGTGTAGGGTATCATATGGTCGGCCACGCCCGACTATACTTTCTTACTTGTTTTAATTCAGAGTTTGTTGCGTCGAATGGTTTTGCATTTGTCAGGTTAACTACCTCGAGCTCTCTTCCCTACAAAGCTATTACATTCGCTCTTTCATTTCCGACTACTCCCGAGTGGTCTGGTACCCATATGATGTAAACTTTACCTCTGAGAGAGTATTCAGTTAAAGCTTTCTTATACGGTCATAGATTTAATTCTATCACCTGATATCGACCTAATGTTGCCTTCTGGCTGTTGCTAAATATATTAAGAAGGGCTGTGGGCGTCATATTTATTCTACTCTAATTTACACATTCCGAAGTCCGAGCATCTACCTGGTAGCTTGTGTTATGATTAGGTAAACGCTGGTATATTTCTGTTTCTGGGTCTTCAATATATAACCCCAGACCCACTTAATCCCTCAATTTAGAGCCATCCGTGTAACAACGGTTTCATAATGGTATTTGCTCTAGTTTTCCACTTGACCAGTCTTCTATAACTAAAAGATCACTGTGAGCTTCATTGCTGACTACTCCCGAGTGGCCTGGTACCCATATGATGTAAACTTTACCTCTGGGAGAGTATTCAGTAAAAGCTTTCTTATAATCCTATACGGTCATAGATTTAATTCTATCACCTATTCGCCTTCTGGCTGTTGGTAAATATATTAAGGGCTGTGGGCGCCATATTTATTCTAATCCAATTTACACATTCCGAAGTCCGAGCTTCTACCTGGTAGCTTGTGTTATGATTAGGTAAACGGTGGTATATTTCTGTTTCTGGCTCTTCAATATAGAACCCCAGGCCCACTTAATCCCTCAATTTAGAGCCATCCGTGTAACAACGGATTCATAATGGTATTTGCTCTAGTTTTCCTCTTAACCAGTCTTCTATAACTAAAAGATCACTGTGAGCTTAGACCTCCTCTCACTCACCAAATTTGGATATAATGTGATTGTCACTGAAACCATGTCGCTTGGATAGGGTAGGGTATTCGCAGAGAAGGTGTGATAACTCTCCCGATAGTATTCATTTAAGGGAAGCCTAAGTCATTTTGTGTGCCTAGTTATGTCTAGTTATTACTGCAAACAACTTCGTTAGGGCGGTTTTCAAAGAGGGTCACTTTACTTAAGGTGAAATTGCAACAGAAGGTGCATTGTAGATATTCAAAGCTGATCCCATTCTGGCTAACACTGCCAGCTCATAGCCTTAATAGTTTCTGTGGAAGAGGTGATGTCAGACACGAATGTCGAAGTGCTTTACGTGAACATCTACCGTATTGGGCTTACTTCACTGTGATCTTTTTCACCCACCAACTCACCAATGCCCCTTTGTGTATCTTACACGTATGTATGTATGTATGTATGTATGTATGTATGTATGTATGTATGTATGTATGTATGTATGTATGTATGTATGTATGTATGTAAAAGCACTTTGCTCAAGTACTCAAGCTTTCCAATCTCTGAACATTTCTACCCCGTTGCTTAACTTCCGAGATGCAAAAACATCACTTCCGCTTACAACCAGACAGATGGAATGGCCTCTTTTGAATAGGCAACAACACCTAAAGACGTATTCTGTAGACCGAAACATGAATCCACCAAAAAAGCCGAGGAATTTGCTCTTTGTTGAACATACCTTGACAAGGAAACTTCAATGGTATCACTTCTATAAGATACTTTTCATTCATTTTATACACTCATAGAAAATAGCAGCCGACACACTCACTCTAGGTTTATGGGCGGGGGAAGACCCGTACATTCAACCTGTAGCGCATACACTTAACACCAATTCATTTCCCACGTTAAGTCCCACAGACCTGTACATTCAACCTGTATCGCATACACTTAACATCAATTCATTTCCCACGTTAAGTCCCAAAGTCACTTCTCTGTGGGAAATTATAGGTGTTCACGTTAAGCACTCGATATTCGTGTCGTCTATCTGTCTGTCTGTCTGTCTATCTTCTGTCTGTCTGTCTGTCTGTCTGTCTGTCTGTCTATCTTCTGTCTTTCTGTCTGTCTGTCTGTCTTTCTGTCTGTCTGTCTGTCTGTCTGTCTGTCTGTCTGTCTGTCTGTCTGTCTGTCTGTCTGCTTGTCTGTCTGTCTGTCTGTCTGCTTGTCTGTCTGCTTGTCTGTCTGTCTGTCTGTCCGTCATTCCTTCCATTCGTCTGTGTTTCCACCTAAATCTTACTACATATCAAAGTACATGTTGCGAATTTAAGATAATTTGATGAAATTTGTAACCAGGGAATAAGTATATTCAAAATTATTAAATCGGTTCTAGTGTAGAGCATCAAATACTCGGCCTTTCCCGGCTGCAATTTCTTACTTGTTTTAAATTTAATTTTAACTCAAATATTTCCTTTGAAGAAAAATAACTAAATACAATTTTCTTTACAAACTTTTTTCAACCAAATATGTAGCAAAAAAAATAATATCCTTTTTTGAAAATATTTTCCTTATACAATCAATAACTAACTATCATTTTATTCAACCAGATAGGGGAACAAACTATAAACAAAACACTTTAGATAAAATAACTTCTGTTTTATACAAAAATAATTTATAAAAAATTAAAAAAAAAATCTTTTTTAAACTTTAGTTATTTTTCAATAAAATTCCAAACCGAAAAAAGAAAATAACCATTATATGAAATGTACAATTTATAAACTATACAATAATAACAAAGAAATATATATAATAAAATGTAATAGTAATACTTTATACTAAATCTACAATTAAATGTATGTACGTATAAATAAGATAATAAATATTTATATATTTTTTATTTATAGATAATATTATAAGTATAATTTATTAAAAAAAAAGTAAATTTTATTATTTATTTAACTGCTTAAATTCATAAATTTAAGCAGCATAACAAAAAAAAAAACAACAAAAGAAATATAACTTAATTATTTAAATATATAAACTATTTATTAGATTATAAAAGTAAACAATGAAAGTAAGAAAAAAACTGTTAATCAAATTTGCATTTAATGAATTAATTATAGTTTAGTAATAGTGTAGATATAATTAATGTTTAAACTTGATAATAAGATAATTGCATAGAAATTATTAAAGCTAATCTTTATAAATGACTATGAATAAATTAGAGTGAAGACAAAGTTATAGTTTGGTTGAGTTGTTGTAAAGTGGTTTATTCATATATTCAATATATTGTTGTTATTTACTTTACTTCACTCAAAATACACAAAATCTATTCCAGTTCCCTTCTATATAAGTTCTGTTCTACTTCTGTTCTAGTTCTGTTCTAGTTCCTGTTCTAGTTCTGTTCTAGTTCTGTTCTAGTTCTGTTCTAGTTCTGTTCTAGTTCTGTTCTAGTTCTGTTCTAATTCTGTTCTAATTCTGTTCTAGTTCTGTCTAGTTCTTAGTTCTGTTCTGTTCTAGTTTGTTCTAGTTCTGTTCTATTTCTGTTCTAGTTGTCTGTTCTAGTTCTGTCTAGTTCTTCTAGTTCTGTTCTAGTTCTGTTCTAGTTGTTCTAG